ATACTGAGCAGTTCTAGAGGTTTGTCCACAAAATGTAATTTGAGCTTTCATCCATTATTTGCACTGCAGCCTTAAAGGGGCTATTTGTGGGGAGTGGGTGGTGGCGATTGTACCTTGACTTTGTCTTTATAACACAAGAGGTTGTAATACATCCTCTGAGCAGCGCTACATCTTCAGGGCAGATTGGAGGCTGCAGTGAGTCGCAAGAGTTAACATTGGTGTTGCTTTCCACCTCTGGAGACAGCTCTTGGAAATGAAGTTTGATGCTGAACTCACAACACTTCTTCTAAACTGGTAAGTAAACAGCTGTTCATGCTAGTGTTAGCTATGTAGCAATAGCAAAACTTAGAAATAGCTCCTTTAATCATTCTCCACCGATACATGGACGACTCAAGTGCTGAAAAACAAAGATGTACTTATGGAACATAAAATGAGGATCCTCAGTTAGTCATAAGCTTATGGACACATGACTAATGACCTTTGTGTTTGATGAAGCATGGTCAGTAACTTGTGTCAGACTTGTACTCTGTGAACCACAGGAGCACTACAGTAAACACTGCTCCTGTGACTTTATTATCTCATAAAGGTCATATGGATTAATGTGTAATTTGAAGGAACTCTGATCCAGTGTCTGCGAATTCAACGCCTTGGTTGGAATAAAGAGAGAGTAGCCTGACTTACTAAAGGTGAGTGAAATTAGGATAAACAAAACCCTGAGATACGCGATCGTGCAATCCGATATCCCGCCTAATAACGAACAACACACTTATTTTGGCTCCCAAACAGCCGAGTCACGAGTACAGACCAGATCCTGTTCAGCAGGGCTTTTATAAACACTCAGTGCCAGTGCTGACAGGTCGAGGGTGACAGGCTGTGTTTGCTGCCCGTAAAAGCATTTGTGGACTTTCTGCTTTAATCCACACCCTAATGCCACTTTCATACAGGGGACAGGCATTTAACCTGCGTTGGAGCTATTCTTGTGGGACGACTATCGCGGGTTAATCTCTGATCACTACTGTTAGCAGAGACTCCAGTCTGCAGCGTTAGCTACAATTTACTGCTCAACCACAGAATTATGCACAATTACATTACATAATTACCGGTTACGTTTCCTTTCTCTTGTTCATCCACACGTGCAATCTTTCCCTTTTTTTCTCTCCTGTTCTCTTTCATTCTTTCTTTCATATTTCTTTCTTTCTTTCTTTCTTTCTTTCTTTCTTTCTTTCTTTCTTTCTTTCTTTCTTTCTTCAAAGAGTCGAGGTTTAAAATGACTTTTAAACATTATTATCACTTAATTAATTTTCCATCCCCTAACGAGGAACCCTGGTCACCGCAGCCAGTGCCAGACAGTGTCTGACCCATTTTTGTCTCAGTTCAGGGGGAGGGACAAGAAGAAGAGTGTTGACCCAGATGTGACCCACATCACCGTGTTACTCTGAGCAGGACATGAGTAATCAGAGGCAACCTTCACATACACATCAATCATAATGTGATTAAAGCTGTAGTCCAGTGATTGAGTATTACATTTCCATAAGGTTAGGGGGATGACAAGAGATAGATTAAAGACAGAGGGGTAGAAATTAAAGCAGCAGCGGTTGAGGTATCCTGACTATTTAATGGCCAGTGTGGCTCAGGCGTCATAAAACACTTAGCTCCTACTTTTCTCATCGTGTTACCCATGGCAACATTTCCCTGACAGCATCTTTGTAGCTCAAATGTTCTGCTAAAGCCGAGAATTGACAAACTCATAAGCCACAGAAACCATGATAGTCTCACTTCATGTGTAAAGGCAGTAGGTAAGCAATGCAAGGTGCAGCCCATATTCTTGATATGTTAATGTGAGTGTGCTGCTAAGTGCAGTAAGCACAATGTGCCGACGTGTTAGTGTCATTAAAGGCCCTGTGAAGCTCTGATTATCAGTTTTAACACGGCGATGCAATATATGTAGGAAGCAAAACCAAAGATATTCTGTTGGAGACATGCATCAAATTTATCTCGTCCATTGTTTTCATATTGTTGAATGGTCTCTTGACCACAACAAACTTCCTGTTCTTCCAGCTAACAGCCTGCTAACAGCTACTGATTGCGTGCTTTGTCTTTCTCTCGGAAACCAATGAATATCTTGAAGTGGATGGGGCGTCTTCAGCCAATAACTAATGTACTCTGCTCCCAAGCACTGAAACATAAATATTATTAAAAGGATCTTAAACATCTAAAAAGAAGAAAAATAAAAATTACAGACCCTGAAATTGTCCGTGACTGTCTAAAGAGAATGACTAAACTTCAAAAAAATCCAGATTTCAGTGTATTTCCAGAGAACTTTCCAAATGAGATCAATGCTCTACAAAGAGCAAATGCCACTGCAGTTGTTAGCGTTCCCCACAGCTTTAATGTTTATTTGTGGTCAAAACTCCAAAATCTGACACAAGACTCAGTTAGCTGGAAACCGGCACTGCATTCACAAGCAAAACTGATTAGGGATGTCATTTTTTCCAAAACAACTGCACATGAATCCACCATTATCGCAGCAGACTTTTGAATCAGTGCACACATTCAACAAGAATTTCAGGTTTTCTATGTAAAGACCAACAAAATTATTTCGGGTGGGCTGCCTGATTTTAGAAACAGGGGCAGTTGACTCAGTGCTGCAGAGAAAAGTAGTTTCATTTCACTTTTCTGTGGATGTTTATTTTGGCAACGGGACTTTGGTGCAGGGATGTTCTTTGCTAGACCTTTGACTGGAGTGCTGTGGGTCAAAGTTGGGACAGAGGGAAAAGAAAGGAAGTTACTGTAAATGAAGATAGCGGTATCATGTGATTGGTGAGGGACACAAATTTCATGTAATCCCAGATCCTGTTGTTTGTATGTCTGAAGAGGATGACAGCTTTCTCCTCTGCTGAACTTCTTTTTGTAGTATGTAGTTTAAACACTAAAACTGTGTATGCATGAAGCCAGGAAATTTGCACAAACAAATTATACATGCACGAGATTAGGAATGCCATCTCACCTCACCCTCTTTGCATAGGTTGTCTGTTTGCATGAGCTGCAGCATAGCTCTTTTAACAGTACAGGTTCAAATGTGAGAAATGGCATGTGCATAGTTTTAGCGTGTATGTATCATTTGTACATCTGGCCCCAGGTGTTTGACATGTCTCCACTGATATTTCACATGTGCTGTCTATCTATTTATACAGTAGAGGCAAACCAGGCAGAACCTGCCGTGCATGGATAACTAGTTTTTATGATTTAAAGCAATTTATTTTAATTTATGACATATCACACACCTGTAATGTAGCTTTCAAAAGACTAGAGTTGCATAAACTGACAAACTTGTTCTCTCTTGATAAAACACATGTTGTCTATGAATCAAGCTGTAGAAATCAAAACATTTGACTTATGCTCCCTGGAATCCATGAGCTGCCTGTTACGAACCAATGCAAACCGATTTAAAACAGGTAATCGAAGCCGAGGGGAAAGTTCATCACAAGTTAGAAATGTCACGTTGTAAACACAGGTGTGCAAAGTTTATGGAAAGGACTATCTGAAATGATTACACGATGGCGCAACTCCAGCACTTCGGCCTATCTTGTCTGCAGAGCAACAAAAAAAAAAAGGGTGTGAGAACAAGCAGCGCTGGAATGTCACAACTCCTCTGACTGCACGTAACACGTCCATTCACACTGAAAGCAAGTTGGCAAGTGAGAGAATCACAGTCTGCAGCTATAAACTGATTTATTGATTTATGTTTTCCTTTCACTGCATTCATAATTTCACTGGGTTAACACAGCTAGTTATGTAAAAACTTCCGTTGTAATAACAATACATGTTATTGTGTTATTAGGTGGCACTGAATACATTATAGAAGGATAACTGCCTTAGTGTAGTAGCACCCTCTTAGACAAACATATCGTAATGGAAAATCAATAATAAAGATGTCTAATCCTGATGATTTCATGGTGTTGGAACGCTTTACTTCACTTTATTTCTTGGGGGAAAAATTCTTTGATTAAAAAAAAGCTAGCATAGTAGTAAACCAAAGCCCATACAAATTATAACTCGTCAAAGCAACTTCATTTATATTCTGCTGGTTAGTAAGATAGTCACTAATCGATGTGCGATTCACATGGATTTGTATAAGTACCACAAAGGTTGAACAATGCAGCGACAATGTACCAAAAAGCAACAGAGACCAGACACATAAATTTTAACGTCAGTGACGCCAAGAGGCACTAAAGCAACTTACTCAGCAGCTCGTCTGCCAACACCTCAGCTAGTCTGTTTCACTCAAAAGAAAACTATCATTTGCAGGTGGTGGAGATGTTATGTGCGTGACTCACACATATAATGGACTCACGCACATGACTCATCAGATTTCCAAAGACAAACCAGGGTGCCTGCAAGTCTAATTATCTTAAAGTAAAGACTTGGATCTTAAAAAAAACATTTCATTACACACACACATGTATATGTATATATATATGTTTTGTGACTATTGTAGGTGCTGCTCGGTGAGAGGGTGGAGTAAGGTTGCGAGCACTGAGGATGTGTTGTTTCCTAAAACCAGATTCCTGCATGCTTCTCATTCCTGCCTCAGCTGTCAAAGGTACTGCCAGTTTATTTGCATGTGCTGCTCTCAATTCACTTTCAGCTCCAGCAGTGTTAAGTGGTGGTCTGACTCTGGTAACTCTCTCTAACCTTGTTTTTGCAGGTTATGACTCCACTGTCTGTGAAGACTTTGCAACAATGTGCAAGCCTTAAAATGAAATTTTGTGCCAATGGAACAAAATGTTTCCTAGGAATTTAAATAACATGCAATTATTCTGAAGCAGCAGTTACCGTGTGTCAATCTAGACAGCGGTGTCAGGTTCATATAGTGCAATGTTGAGTGTCAGAGCTGCAGAACGCTTATTAGGATTTGATTCCCCAGGTCCATGTCCTGTCTCATTTGCACGGACAGTGTTTGACATTTTAGAAAATCCTAGGTAAGACATATTCCTCACCTTTGAAGTAGCTCTTGACCCTCAGGTATCCCACACTGAGGCGAAGGACTGACAGCTTGTCCAGACGAGAGCGGACATCCTCGGAAAAGGGCAGGAGATCCGTCAGGCGGTCCAGCTCCCCGTTCAGCCGATCCCGGTGTCGCTTTGAAGGGTTTGATTTAACAACTTCATTGCCTTCAGAGACTTTCTTTCTGTGGGGCCAAAATGGAAAAAAAACATAGCTGGTTATTGAAGTGTTAAATATGCTGATTGAAAAAGCCTGTCATTAAGAGTGTGTGGACCAACACTGAGTGAGTTCAGGCCTGGATAACCGGCGCTGCCAGGCCATGGCATCTGTTGTGGGGTGCAGTGTGACATATGCCAATTAAACATGAGCCATATTAACTATTAGCAATGCTGCAAACAGCTTCAGACCTACTCAGAGAAACAACAGGCTGTCATAAAAGTTACTAATAAATACTGCAGTTCCTCTGAGTCAACATCAGCTCCATTGTTAAGCGTGTTAAATACAGGAGTGCTGTAGCTGCTGAATGCCAACACAATAATCATTATTTTCATTTAGCTTGAAACAAATCAGTATCAGTCCGCTTGGCTCTCTATAAAAGAACAAGTAGAAACTCCCCAGTCCAGCAACAGAAAGTAGAACCATGCTTTCCCAGATGATACTGAACTGTGCTGCATAAACAAGTTCTCATGGGACTGACTTTTTATTTCTATTTTTTTTTAACATTTTTATGCCAGGGCCGTCTGAATGCTGTACAAAGCTGGAAGTACCACACTGGGAAATGAACCCCAAGTGTTTGTGGTGGTGGACAGAAACTGGCTCTACATAAAAAATAAAAATAAAAATAAAAAAATCAGGAAAAGCAACACTGACAGTGAGAGAGAAAACATCTTCTTGGCATATTTACCTTATTTTTTAGCCATTTTCTCTTCTTGGTTTGGCACAATATTTATTCCATAACACATACAAAGTTGTCCAGTTAAAGTTAGGTATGAGCCAATATTCAATAATTTAGATTATTATTATTATTTCCCACCATATGTAATGTTTCCATAATATCGATTTTTTTTTGCCCTGCTAACGAGTCTGACCCTGACTTTACTGCTTGGCTTACTGTGCATGGGATAAATAAAACTTTGAACTGCTATTTAGTGGCAGCATCACTTCTTACCATACATTATAAAATGTAATAATATATAATTATATCATTAAAAATTCAGCCTCCTGAGAAAATATAGTATATCATGATATTTGGGCCGGACAGTTGCCCAAGCCTAGTGATAGTAATGAAGATAAACTCCTGGTAAGTTACGTTGCTTCAGCTAATGTTAGCTCACAGACAGACAGCATGAGCTACTTAACATCCCTGAATCCTTAAGGTCTCAATTAGGAGCTATTAAGGTTAATAAGTGTAAATCAATTATGTTAGTTGCCTAACTTTTTAACTGGGAGATTCTCACATTCAGGTTGGACTCAACAACTACCTACCTATAGCAGCTGTTAACTACCAATCTGAAAGTAAAGTAATACCATGCCCGAGACTGTTTATCTTAAGTGAGATGAACCAGTCTGTTTGGTCTTATTGAAGGAAAAAAAAAGAAGCCAGTCCACTCTCTATTTTTTTCAAACACGAAAACAAGACAAAGTGGTGTTTCTCTCTCAAGGAAACAATTTCCAGTCCAGAGTAAATAGTGCAGACAGCAGCACGCAAAATATACAAAATTACCACAACTCATTCCATTGGCTATTTATGTAGTTTGTCAAGATGGAATCCAGTGTTTTACCGTGACAGCGGCTTTATTTGCTCCGCTTGACTTTCTCTTGACCACCCATGCTGAAAGCACAGAGCACAAACTCACGAGGCTCGCTGGAGATACATGTCATTACTCACAAATCAGACACACATGTTACACCGGGAGTGAAACCAAGTGTCAGGGAAAGGGAGCAAATTGGGACGGCACACGACACCGCTGCTGTCGTTCCTCTGCCACACACCTGCTGAGGAAAACTCAGAGCGGCTCACAGCTTTAAGACCCCAACAGGCCTACGGTACATTCAGCGGTAAAGAACCTTTTCGGAGCGTTGAGAACCCACCCACATGAAAATATATGTCAGCTCATTCCTGTCAGGAACAAATAGATAAGTCTCAAGAGTATAAGTATCTTATTATGACAGTAAACCAAAGGTGTGGCAGTATAGAGATACAGATACATGCTAACCCTCAGATTTATGACTTAACTCAAAATGAACTAATGTAATTTCCATCATAACTAACTTGATGATGTATTTGTTTACTTAGTTTGCCTGCTCCCTCAGGCACATGAGCATCCTCTCTTTCTCTTCTCCCTTTCTCCTTCCTGCCCCCCCCCAGGTATTTCTGCCGCCCGGCCTGGGCCTGGTTCTGCTCGAGGTTTCTGCCTCTTAAAAGGAAATTTTCCTAACCCCTGTTGGGAATTGCTGGATCTCTTTAATCAATATTATAAATAGTAACGTCTAGTCCTCTATAGGAAAAGCGCCCTGCAGATAACTTGACTTGAGCAGGAATCATCTTACAAGTTTAGTCTAGTTCTAGTAAAGTGCTTTCATCCCCTAATTGTTGGGAATCGGTTCTTGGATGAATCTAAATTCTCTCTTGCAGGATTGGGCATCTCTATCACCAAGCCAGCCTCCCTGATGTACAGCTGTGAAGTTGCATTGTGCAGGAGGAGTGTGGAGTCTGATGAGGTTATGTGACCCAATTTGATAGATGAGGTATTGATAAGCAATGTTCCCCTTGATGTTGCCAAATCGCTCTGTCAAGAACATATCTTTAAGTACTAACAAAAGCTTGCACAGTGAAAAATAGCTTTGATTTTTATTAAATATGAATTATTAAGGTTAATTAACTTAATTGGTAACTGCTGTTGTTATTTCAGATCAGATCAAACATGGCTACCATGCAAACCCTGAGCATGAGACTGACAGTGAACTTCAGTCACTGATAGTTTTTTTAATGTTCAGCATACAGCTGTTTAAACTGGCTGAGACCCAGCTTACTCTCCAAATGTTTAGGAGGAGGAACGTCTCAGTGGTCTATATTAGTCTGGCCAATTCTAATCACATTAAATCACTTGGTTTCAGCCCTAAAATGCATCAGAGTATGCTTAACATCAACAGCTATTCCAGGTCAGCTACTGCTGTAGCATATCTGCAGTTTCAGGCTTCAAGCTCTCTACCGTTGCCTAAATTTTTCTCTTTACCGAAACTTCGGTTAATGACAGGCTATTAAATTTCCTCCTCTGCCACTGAATAGTCTGCAGGGAATAGAGCCTAAACTCAATTGCTGGCCACAGACCCGAGCCGTACCTTCTCAGAAATGAAGCAGGACTGATCTCACTCTCGAGAAATGCCTCGCGGAGACAAAAGCCAGCATTCAGAACCATTTTTTCCACCTTGATTTGCTATGGATCACGGGGTTGAGCAGCAGACATCAGGGCATTCATTGTAGAAAAGGTTTACCTCATTCATTGATTTCTATTGGGATTCCTTATCTCAACAGTGAAGGGGGGGGTGGGGGGAGTGGGTGGGTTCAATCTAAGACATGAACCCAAACACCTCTGCCCCAGATATAAGGCCGCCCATGTTGCAACCAAGTCTACTGACACACATTTGTCTGCTTAAAGAAGATGAAGTGTCCGCCACATCCAGAGGGATGACTCATCGGCTCACAAGTATGAAAAGTGTGCTTTTTATACGCATGTTTGACTGCAGACAAACAAAGACTGCAACTTTGGAAGTGAGTTTACAAAAGCAGCCTCTGGCCTAGAGAGAGCTTTCCAGACAGAGAGCTCATACAAAAACATGTGTTGTACATAAATGTACAAGAACAAAGAACATGATTGAGTTACAACAAGAGCAGTTCAATCCTACGGAGCTGAGTGGCAGCAATTATTGTTGAACATTCAAAGAGTTTTGCAGTCGCACAAACGTAAAGATTTCTGACTTAATGCTGATGCCGGGAGGGAAAAAAAAATCACTCAGAAAGTGGTACAAATGCTGCTCAGTAGCAAAGCACAAAACAAAATTAAAAAGCATCATGAACACATAGGAAAGGGCATCGAGGGCAGATTCAATCTGAGGCATCGCCAACAAATGGTTGAATTTGCTATCTCCAGAGGAGTTTCAGAGACATGAAAGTGGGGTATTTGGCTCTGTTCTGGAGAAACTGCGGACTATCTGGAGACACAGTGGAGAATTGGATGCAGGAGTTTCTATGAGAAGACATTTTTCATTTTTTGGGCAGAGGGAGGAGGTGTCTTATAGGAGTCCACTGAAAGTACCATCCTCCAGGAAGGAGCAAATCAAAAACTTTTTCAGAGGCAGTCAGGTTTGTGCCAAAAGTTTTTTTAAAAGCTCTAGGGCTGGAGTTTGTTTGGGCTGAAACTTCTGGCGTGTGTAGTCCTCTAGGAAGCAGCCTCTTCAGCTGTCTAAGAGGTGAGGGAGGGAAGCAGTGGTTGCTTCTATCTTATTATCACACATGCAAAGCGTTTTATAACTTTTAGAGATAGTGCTTCACTGTACTGAGATATATTTTACATCATATTCATTTAGCAGGAACTTGGACAAGAATATGTGTTTATGTTTTACCCTGCTCCACCATATACGACATAATGATATATGAGACTAATTAAAAACCATTACAGTTTTCAAATTTTAATGAGATAATAACATAATAAGAAAACGAGTTTTACTTGAGGTTAGGGCTATTAAAGTTACATTAGATCAATATTCCATTCAACACACATCATTTAGATGTTATTTCAAACTCTGTCTTTGATGGTAATTCTTCCAGTAAGAGTGTTAGACATGATAAAAAAGTGTTTAACTCTTCTTTGAAAATAAAACAAAGGGCAAAGAACAAAGGGTAACTGCGTAGGTGTTCACCAGGAGTGTTTTGGCGTTGTGCCACACCTCTTATCAGCATGTCTGCCTGCCTGTGGGTTTGTGTGTGTGTGTGTGTGTGTGTGTGTGTGTTTCTCACAATCCCTTTAGATTACTGTGCAAAACAATATTTCCTTTGCTGAAGCATATTATCCCTATTATCCTATTAAGGATACCATTGCTTGCTAAAATAAATGGCCACATTATAAAGTGTATAACCTATAATCAACTTATGATCCACAGTGTTAGGTACACATTCACACACATTACCACTTAGCACTCTAGAGGGCTTTTAATGAGCCCTTTACAGTATAATTAACCCATATTTTCAAGATGACTATTTTTCACAGCAACATGTAGCTGCAGTTAAAAAGTAATAATGTACAGGGGTAAGAAATGATGCAGCAGGTTCCAAATGAATTTACTCTGGTGTTACTGTTTATTCAACAGTGCTGCACTGCAAGTACAACAGCAATGTGTGAAAAGCAATGCAATAAATCACTGTCACTTCTTGCTGTTTGGTTGTCAAACTGAAGGACTACAGTAGCATTATAAATGTGGGCTTGTCATGAGAGGATGGTCGCCAATTTGGAACTTGTGAGTTCGCATTTTTGGACGTTAAGTAAATGATTGAGTGTTTAAGTGGTTAAATGCATGAGAACAATGTTGCTTGCAAACTGACTAAAAAAAGGTTTGCTGTGAGACTGCTGGGAGACTTGTTCTCATTTGCAAAGTGGTGCATAGAAAACATTAAATAGGTACTTTTAATAACATAGTTGAATTCATGGCAAAGCACACTGGCAGCACACACAGAAGGAATCTGGGTAATAAAACAGAGAATTTGGATGGCCAGATCTGCCGTGGAATGCCCTTGTTGAGTGACCACAGCTTTTTACAGTCAGCCTCAGTGGTGCCTTTGTGCAGCTGAGCCCAGCTGGGCCGTCCAGGAAACCTCAGTCCTCAGTGCTCAGTCCCACATCTTCAGAAACAGACGTCTGCATACAGGCCACTTCTTTATTTTGGGATTTACACTGGGAACAGCCTATTCACACTTACTACACTCTGATTTTAAATCATTGTAAAATAGAACTGCTACTCATTTTAAAAAGGCGTTATTACCACTTTGTGTTTACAATTACTTTTGTAAACAAACTTTTACTTGAGTTAAGTTTGTTGTCTAGTGCTAATTAGTGTCAGTCAATTTAAAAGTAATGGTTGGACCCCGTCCTGTGTTATGAATTGTGATGGGGGGCAATTAGAGGTTTAATTAGAGATTACCAGAAGCTATGTGCTCAAGTGTCCCACTTACTGTATGTATGAAACTTTGGGTCACTCACAAATGTCCAATACTCACTCTTCTTGCTCTATTTTGGTCTCCACCAACTCCTAAGAAAAACATCTGGAGCCAATTGCACAAAAAGACCTTAAGTTAAGATTTCCCTTAAAGTCTGAGTTTTAGTTTCTTTAAAATAAAAACAGTTGCACAAACACCCTAAAGTTTTTTCCTTGAGGTTTCCTTAAAATGTTCACTGAAGTATTTAAGGTTTTCTCCTTATCTTAGTCTTAAACTTAACTTAAAGTCGGTTAAATTGTTGCACAAAAGACCTTAGCGACCAAAGTTCACCATGGTGAAGTTCCTGTCCAAACAACGGGAGGATGAGATAGTGGAGAGCTTCTTTAATGTTACTCCTTTCCCAAAAGCGACAACAGGTATCACAAATGCTAATGACAGCAAATTAGCAGTCTCCATGGAAACAGTAGAATTTTACCAGCTGTAAAATATCTTTCATTGCTGTAAATAACTTAACAACACCCTTAAGTAACTATCTCAGCTAAGGAGAAATTAAACCTTAAGTGTCATACTTCTGTAGAAAACCTAAGGTGTTTTATGCAACTGGCCCCTGGCCTTTTAGCTACTAAATGGTCCAGTGTCTGTCTATTGTTTGGGGCTGGGCCAGTAGTGTACAATGGGTTTATCGGAGCTTTTGTTGCTGAAAAAAAAAAAAAGCTGTTAATGAGGCTGATGATGGCGGAAAAAACAAAACAATGACGTGAAAAACACTAAAACAATTCATGAAGCTGAAGGCGATAACAGAAACAAGTGATAATCCTCTGTGGGTTTGTCACTACAAGCAACTCTTTTCTCATCACACAGTCATGTGATCTGTTGTTTATAGAAATACATTGATGAGTGCAGCTTTAAGGAATTTACCCAACTTGCACAGGAACAAACCTGAAGCTGATGTGGAAGCAGGATTATTGCAGCCACGATTTTCCCAAAAATGTAGTTAAAATTTGCGCTACAGAGGTTCTCCTCTGTGTTCTGACACAATAGTTTCCTCTTGTAACAGGACAAACTGCTCACCTGGACTTTTTATTATATATCGGATTAATCTGATCCCTCAAAGTTTGTGCAGCTCTCTGTATATAGCCACCCAACTTGCACTAATGTACCGCGTATTATGGTATATTATATTACCACCATTGTACAGTGCATATTCAGCACATGTATAGCAATGGGTCTACCATTACTCTATCTATCTTATTAGCTGTTAAATAAATAAAGTGGTGTTTTAAAAGTAACATATTTCCCTCAGAAATGTGTTGAAATATAAAGTCCCAAGTACAGTCTATGAATAAATGTATTGCCTGGTTCACTGAGCATTAAACTTTAAAAAAAAGTCAAGAAGACAAAACAGGTGGGAAAAAAACAGAGGAACAGGCACGCGCGCACGCACACACACACACACACACACACACACACACACACACACACGCACACACACACACAAATATATATACAGCCAGCATGGATCCCAGAACGATGAAGAGCAAGGCCGTATCAGATTACAATAACATACTCGCATACCCCCCCCCCCCCCCCCCCCCCCCCCCCCCCTCCTCCTCCTCGGAGCATCGCGTGAGAGCAGCAGCCGACTCTCCAACTTGATTGTGATTAATGCGCGAGGGCAAGATATCCATGCCAGATCCAAGCTAGACACATACTTCTTAAGGTAGTCCGAAAAAGTGGGAAGCGAAAAAAGAAAAAAAGAAAAGAAAAAGAGACCATAACTCACTCTCAACACACACACACACACACGAACCAAACTTAACGAGGATTACTTGTTGATATCATAACTTTTGCTCTGAATTTACAGGTCATATGTCGATGATAGACGTTTGCAATCGACTTTAATTCGGTTTATCTTCATTTTAAGCATTTAATTCATGACCCATCTTTTTATAACTTGCAGCACTTAAAGTAAACCGATTTTTTTTTTTTTGCATTTACTGTTTTATACGTTGGCCAATGTGAAACGTACGTAACTTTTAGTTCAAAATTTACGCCAATAGTTTAACAGAAACTCGGATAACCACAGAAACTACAACTTGAATGTTTAAATTAAACAGAAAAAACGTATATTTAGCACTAGAGTTGCGGACAAGTCTTACTGTTTGAGAACAGGCTTCTTCCTCTTCTTGTTAGCATAAGTCCCCGGGTTTCCCAACATGGTGTCACTTCGTTTAACGTTCACAAACTTGACGTTGGGGTTAACGTTTGTTTGCCTCGTTCACTCCTGGGCTACCGGGGCTTCCTCCATCCGTGGTCGGTGGACTGTGGTTTGTTCAGCCACTGAGTCCAACTCCCATGTTCAAACAAACAAACCAAAAAGAAAAAAAAAAAGTTGCCGGGGTCCGCGGAGGTTTGCTGCCGCGTTGACAGATCCTGTGGGCGGCCACCGTCGCTGACCTTGGTCGGCGGTGCTGTGAGGGTGAAACTGTGGCACTAGACTGAACGCGGCTGCTAAGTTTTGTGAAGAGGGGGAGGAAGGAGAAGTTTAGGAAAGTTTGGCGTAGAATTCAGCCTATGTCCAACCCACCTTCTTTGGATAAACAACGCCGCTTTATTATTATTATTCAGAGTCATTTAAGTTTTCCTTTTTTTTTCTCTTGCACGGGGCGTTTTCAGGAAATGTGCGTACAGTCTGTCGGAGCTGTGTTTTTAAGGTGGACTGGGCTCTTTATGACTGAAGTAGGTTTTGCTGCTGCTTGTAACATCCACAATGTGTTGAGATTGTTGACTTAATTGGGAAAATTTTCTTGTTTGGTTGAGATTTCCTACCAGAGCTGGAAATACTATACATAAAAAAAAGTTTCCCTAATAATTTCCATAATACTTAGGCAAGTTTCCACATTCAGGCAATGTAAATGTTGCATAAATGGACTTTTTCCTGAGCTATTCAGCAGGATAATATCTGATGCACATAGAGTACTGTGCAAAAGTTTAGGCACTAAAAGTAAAATGAAGATGCATTAGTCAGTTTAATAAAAAAGTGCAATAAACAACCTGAATCAAATTTTGTGTAACCACCGTAGGTATATTTGCATGCAGTTTTTCAAGGTTGTTCCAAACATATTGGAGAACTTGCCTCAGTTCAGATTTAAGTCCGTCTCTGTGTCTTCTATCTATTCATGTAATCCCAGACTTGACTGCATGATGTTGAGATCAGAGCTCTGTGGGGGTCCAGCCATCTGTTGCAGGACTCCTTGTTCTTCTTGTCTTTGAAGAAATGTCTTTATGACTCAGGCTGTATGTTCGGACTTGTTGTTCTGCTGCAGAATGAATTCAGGTCCGATCAGATGCTTCCCTTACAGTACTGTGTGATAGACAAGAATCCAAACATCAAAAGTGCCTAAAACCTTTGCACAATACTGTATATTATCTTGTTTTTGTTCAATATGTAAATCATAAAGGTGCAGAACAGCTACAACCTGTCTTTAATGTAATTTTTCCAACTATATTTATATTAAGATATGCTGTTGTAATCATATATTTAAACCTTAGTCTCAAACAGAACCCTTTCGCCTTTCATGGCATGTTAATTAATTCAACACATTTCAGAGCAATACAACGTCTAGTATGGTCAAAGCCGCTATAGATCTTAAACAAGAAAGAGGATAAACAGCCACAAAGTTTTGTCCCAGCAGGACAAGTTAAAAAGATACATGTAGGTGGGCACTTTTTATTTGTAAACTATTCATACTACAGACTTTATTACATGGCCAAAAGTATGTTAACACTCAAACAAAGTATGTGGAGACACAAACATTACACCATATGTGATTGTTGAGCGTCTCTTTCGGTGATATGCTGCCTCCACTACTCCAGTTTCAAGCTTTCCACAAGATTTGGGACCATGGCTGCAGGAATTTGTTTCCATTCTGAGATCAGACCGGCGATGTTGGGTGATGTTTCCTGCCCAAGGTGTTCAAGCTGCTCAAATCTCTCCCACACACAAATCTGGGAAAAGCATTTCTTCATGGAGCTGGCTTTGTGCATAGGGGCATTGTCATGTTGGAACAGGAAAGGGCCTTCCCCAAATGCCTGCCGCAACATTAAAAGCAGACTTTGTCTAAACTATCATTGTATGCGGTAGCATTAAGATTTCCCTTTAATTTTCTTTGAACTAAGGAGCCAAGCCCAACCATGAGAAACAGCTTGAGAACAAAAATAATCAGATGTATGCCGTCAGAGCTGTCTACCACACTGGCTGTATAATGTATTTCTAAGCAGGTAGGACAATAAGTGGCAAATTTAGTCAGACTGCACTCAACATCCTCTTGGAAATGTCTTTTTTTTTTTGAATGTGCTGTTTTTTCCTACAATGCAATGCACAAAGGAAATGGAGGAGCTGCTCACAGCTGCAAAAAATGAAGACATACACCCAGTTGCCTGTTTATTAGGTACACCTAGCTATAACTAGCTATAACCAATGCAGCCAATAAAACAGTTCTGCAATAAATGTTACCATCATGAAGGTTTACATTCAACTTCATGATCATTTTGGAGGATGTAGTTTGTGGTGCTGTTGAATATTGGTTTCTAATAATTTAGCCACCCAGTTTATAGTCCCATATTGAATAAAAGTAGATGTCCATGTGTAGTTTGATTATAGATCAGGTCTAGCTTCTATATTAATACTGTGAAAGTATCAAAGCCTCAGTCCACAGAGAAATGCACACAGCCTGTATTCAGAAACTGAGCCTTAAAACCAGCCGTCAGGACTTCTGGAACTTTGTGATGTCACAACAAAGCAGTCACCAAGCTCCGCCCACCTGGACCCACCATCCAAACCTTGCAGGATTTGGTTTCTCTGAGTGTTTCTACCTGAAATCTGCTATATTTGTATTGGATCAGTCAGAAAACAGTCAACCAATCAGAAGAGAGGCTCAGAGCCTCCTCTCTTCTGATTGGCTCACCGACCTGTTGTTACTAGAGCTCCAGAGAGAAGCCTGAGAGAGGAGATGTAAAACTACACTGAGATGGTTTTTGGTTCTTAAAACCACAAATATATCTTCTTATGGATCAACGCTTCAAATAAAACACAGGAAGTGTAAATATGGGACCTTTACTATGCATTTTTTATCTTTCTTTATTCTTTATTTCTTTTGATACATTTTCCTTGGACGAAAATTATGTTGTATGTTGTTGTATGTTGTATGTACAATTCACAGCTCAGCTTCACTGATTAAAGCCATTACTAATCTCCTCTTTGAAATAAGAAGCTCACTATGTGGTCAGGCTCTGCACTATGCAGTCATAATTTGATTTAATTAGTTATTTGAAAAGCTTCTTTCTAAGAAAGTGGTAGTGAGAAACACGGAGACCATGCTCACCTCCCGCTCTCCACACCCTTCCTCCGTATTTATTTTATTTTATTTATCTTGGACACATTTTACTTCCTCATAACAGCTGTCTGTCACTGTATGTTCACATTCCCTGAGGTTTGTCAGTCACTGAATGAAATGAATGAAACCTTTATTTCCCATCTGGGAATTTGCTTTGCACAAAGAACATAAAAACATGGCAGCACATAACATGACATAAAACATAAGCAGAAGTAGTATCTTTAAAAGCAGATTTCAACATGCAGTTTTAATGTTGTTTTTGTTTATAAATTTATAAATGTATGATTTGATGCACTGTTTTGTAAACAATAAAATAAACCGTGGGGGTGTTTTTATGTTTGATGTCTCTAGTGAGTGAGTTTTTAGTGTTTTTTCAGACACCGTTTTGTAGTTGTGTCAGCTTTGTAAAAACATGTACTTCTGTTTCCAAATTTACATCTTAATAAAAGAGAAAAGCTGTAACACAAACGCACTGCAACAAACCTCAAAGTGCAGAAAAAGTGCTGAAGAAAAAGAAAGAAAGAAGGGGAGCAATTGATTTCATCATTCAGCAGTGTGTTTGCAGTGTTTCTTTGACAGCTGACAGTTTGACTCACAGATGACGGAGAGACGCCTGAGGTGGAGGCTTCGCTCTGTTATGTCTCTGTCTCAGAGAGAGGATACACTCTGCCCTCAGGCCACAGGTATCAAGACTCGAAAAAAGACATATTCAGTCATAGTCACATTCTCCCGATTCTGAAGCCTAACACCAGCTGTGTAGACATGACACCCTCACAGACGAAGTAGATATTCTGAGTTGAAATAACTGTTGTTTGTTTATTTGTTGGCTGGTCAATCTGTATACTTGATTATTTGTTGGTCATATCTCTGCAACGATCCTGTGAATCCACTGGAATCAAACCTTTAACACCAATTCTGATGATCGGTTAGACACAGTCATCATCAGTCGTTCATAGATGTCTTCATTATCACACACACACTGTATGCCACTAATCATTTACATACTTGTGGGCATCAGCTGTGTTGTGGTAATCTGTCTGTAATCAAGTTGCTTTTCTCAGTGATGCGATGAGTGCGGTAGTGCTCAATTTCTAGCAATTACACTAATTACTTCCTGGTGAAAACTGAAATCTACTATGTCATACATTAAAGAAAGAGTGAATTACACTATGTGCACAAGGCTACAGTAAAACCCGTGTCAGCTTACATAAAGGAACAAAACAACATGTGCAGCAGCCTCTGCACCAAGACGATTTATGAAGTGAAATATTTCAGCATACAATATAAAACATAATATTATTGGTCATCCAAGATAGTAAAATGACACTTGGGCTGCATACTTGTTTTATTCTGGCTCAGTATACGCCCGGCCCCACAGCCCAAATCTGGCTATTATCCTCACCATCATACTCATCATGCTGTGCATGGGCCAGATTTGGGCTTTTAAACCGGGCATCTACTGGGCCAGAAGAAAACAAGCATGTTTGCAATCTGAGATGACTTGTCAGAAAAGTCACAATCATGTGACCGCAGCTGCAAACTGCACAAACAATCAAGCTCCCGATCAGAAAACAGGCAGGAAAAAGAGCCACTTCATGCTGCTATAACGGTGAGAATACCTCAACTCCTGGGGCCAGTTTCACAGAGATATTTAAGAACTGGTCTGTAGTAGTTAGGCCAGTCTTTAATGCAGGTTAGAATGAAGACAGTCTCATTTTAAGCATGAAAAGTTCGTCACCCTCCCTCAGGCAAACCTCTGTCTCCTAGAAATGAAGTTTCTATAGAAATAAACTGCAACACAAGTATGTCACACCAGAGACCAGGGCTCACATCCTTATTCATATGTGTCCTGCAAATTGTATTTTAGATGCCCCGGGCTAACTTAGTGACACCTGCTAACCAGTAACACCAAATAACAAAAAAGAGCAATGGCTCATAGATTGTGGTTTTCTAGTAATTCTAACCGCAACAATATTTCTGACATCTGTCATTCTGTCTGTTTGCAGAAGAGCTGAGCCCTGCCGTGTTAGGACGCCACAGTAGCTGAGATTTTATGCTGCTTTTTGTATTGTTTGTCTCTGCTGAATTTTCCCACTAAAATCTTCTGGTAACCTTTGAATTCTTCCAGAAGGCAAGAATTTTCTGCTGGAGTAAACAGAGCCGAGCGAGTTTGACGAGGCTGGCTCAGTCAGCCGTGTTTTTCTGTTTAATTTACCCA